CAATCAAAGAATGAATGAAGGTTTAGACAAAAGATTTCCCCCCCTCTTCTGCCTAGCAGCCCACAGGGCTGCCATGAGCTGGCTGATGTGCAGCTGAGAGCTTTTGTTTTCTCATTGTCCCAGTTTCTAATCTGCAACCTTTCCTTTGGTAGCTCATGTTTTTTTTACAGGGTTCTGGCCTGTCAGCTGGAGAGTCTTTCCAGTTTCTTTATGCCTGCGTAGACAGTGCTCACAGTTGGTCTTAAGGGGCTGGGAAATGTTAATCTGAGAAACCCGTTCTATGCAAGGGAGACCACGAGTGAAAATCATCTCAAGAGCACAGAAAAAGGATCTGACAACCAGCTCTCTGTTGTGTACAAAGGAAATACCTCTGGGTTGCCAGCCAGGCTCTGCAGTGGCCAACACAGAGCAAAAAAACCTCAAAGATTCTTCCCAAGAAGGCAGTGGGATGCCTCAGGCTTGAGGCTTGGTGTGTTGTAGGAAAGGTGCCTGAAGGGCTGTTTCACATATCAGGTCTAATCCATCCTCAGCTGGTCCATGGAAATGATTAGCTGTGGCATGGTCAGCCTTTGCTTGGAATCGCGAGTCCTAAACGCATCTAACGGCATGTTCCTCTCTGCAACAAACACATCTGCCCTGGAGAGCGGCACTGCTCCTCATCTAGAGCTGAACTCAGAGCGGGTGTGCTCCGTTGGAGCTGATGGCAGATCACAGTCCTGATGTAGAATCACAGTAATAGCAAATGGGAGCGATGCCTGACCAGCTAGACCATTGCTATCTGCTGCATAGCTCAAATTTCTGCTCTTCGATAAGTTCTTGTGAACTGAGAAGTGTTAGAGAGATGTTAATGAGGTCAGGATTTGACCTTCAATTATTGTAATTGTCCTCGCTCACCAGGTAGCTACAGTTCAGAGGTGATCAGACCTGCAGCTGGAGCGCGCGGAGGCCTCGGCAGGGCTCCCCCTTCCCGGGCAGAGAGCCGGGCTCCGCGTGTGCTCCGCGCTCCGAGCCTCCCGCGATGGGCTGCCGTGTGCTTTGCTGCATGTTATTTGTGCTGCCAGACATGGATGATTTCTCCCATTCTTCTTTAAGTTCTATTGGTGATCAGGTTGAAGAACGTAAGCGTCTGTTTGCTGGAACACCTTCACGAAACACCACAGCACATTGCTGTGGAAGAGGAAAACGCTGCTCTGTTTTGCTCTGAAAGTCGAATCAAGTTAGTCTGATACGCCCTAGAAGTCATGAAAAGCAGAACTTCACGTTCATGCTTTCTTTCTCATGTTGTCTTTCTAGACAAATGCACAATTTTGCTTGTGGCCCAGAGATGTCAGGAATCCCGAATGTCACCAGAAGCAGGTGATGTAGTTAACTGGGCATCACAGTTTGTCACAGGTAAGAAGCTGTAACCAACTAGCAAGGGCACGGCAGCTACCATGAGCACATATTTCAGTGGTGCAAGCTCCAGGGTGCCTAGTGGCAAATGTAATTGTCATCATCATATAGCAGCTCTAGGCTACTCTGTCTCTATTTTGTGGCTGAAAGGCCTTGTGTTCGGCTTGCAGCAATAACCTGCCCCCTCAAATGAGGAAAAACAGAACTTCTGGGTCATGGAGTGGCATTGCTTTGCCAGCATATACCCAATAATCAGTAAAAATATATATATATATTAATTGCAGTTTTTTACACGTTATTCCACAATATTTATTATTAAGATTGAATGGCTCTTCCCAGGTATTACTGAAGTTGTTTCTCCGAGTGTGTTCTGTGCTTGCTATGGCACAAGTGACTGGGTTCTCCACTGCAATGTGCTCAGTGTGTTGTCAGCATCCCGGCAGGAGCAGAGCTCAGGACGTTGTAGCGGGACAATGGGCACAGCCGTTCCTTGACGGCGAGGCATAATCGTGTGTGACTACTGCTGTCACTGCTGTGACTACTGCTGCTGTCACTGCTTGGCTTGGAGCGTCAACTGCTGGTTAGGGTTTCTTGGAATGAAGAAAGTATTAACTGTAAATTGGTGCAGCTGGTATCTAATTACAGAATACCCTGGGAAGCATTTGGGCGCCAATCCAGCAAAGCACTTAAGCACCCACTGATTTTTTAAGAGAAGGCCCCATTGCCTGGGGTTGCTGCCTGTTCACAGGCATCCTCTGAAGTGTTTGTTAGTGGACCAGTGCTTTTCCCTGACAACCTCAGCACATCTATCTCATTTTCTGAAATGACTGAAGGAGGTGAGAGGCCAAGGTTGACTGGAAATCTGCGGGAAATAAACTCCTAAATCACTGATATACTTTGAAAAGTTTACTCAGCTGGACATTTTTTTTCTGCTGTTCTTTAGCCTTGCTGTAACTGATAAAATTGTGACACCTTTTTAACCTCTGCCAAATTCTGAGAACCAATTTGTTCATCCAGCTATTCCTGTTGCAATTGGGTTACCCTAGATATTCTAATATGTAATGATTGGAGCAGTCTTTTCCAAAAACAGGCAAAAGCAGCTTTCCAGCTATATCCTGCTGACAGAAGAGGGAGAATTCAGAGAAGGAAGGTTACAGTCAGAAGTGACTAGAATGACTTAGCCCATGAGGGGTAATGAATTCAGAACAGCCTGTTATCAAAAGCAGCCCGGTGATGCCATGCAGTGTAGATGGGCATTGAGCCCCAAGGCAGGAATAGAGCCCTGTAAGCAGAAGAGCACTTAGAATAACTCTTTGGATAATAATGCATTGATTTAATATAAGGATGAACAGATAAATCAAAAGCAAAGGTTATGATTTAGGTGATTCGTTTTTAAATGTTGAGTTGGAAATACTGATCTTCTCGAAACATACATGGGACGAGAGAGGAATAGACTGGAGATTAGCCCTACTTAATCTGTCAATCTGGGCGGGAAAGTAGGTCTTGGTCTCCAGGGGTTCCAGTCCACTTATGAGGAAAAACCAATACTTTTTCCTTCAGAAAAACTCTGCAAAATTCCTTGATCAGAAGGCAAAGGAAACCCAGGCTAAACCACTGAGGTCTTGCACTATTTCAGCAGTTCCCAATTATTTTCTAGCCAGGATACTTTGCTCCTTCTACAGCTACCACTCTACCTCCAATGCTGTGTCTATCCTCCCTTGCCCTTGCTTGCCCCTCTGCGTTGCCAGTGCTGTTTTTGCTGCCCTCTCATTCTCCTGGTTCCTCTTCCTCCTCTGCCTTCCCTCATCTCCCCAGGCTTCGGCTACAGCTACTCTTTTTTTTTTTTTTTTTTCCTCTTCCCTTCCTCACTACTCCTCCAAGTGCTGCCTCACTTTCCCTTGTGACACACTCACTAGTTAATACCAGTGTGATTTACCAAAATACAATTTACAGTGCCTGGATGATACAAGTGAGGTGCGGAAGCAAATCACTGCCAGATCAAAGATATTGCTCATCAAGGAAAATCTTGCAAGGTCCATGCTTTTAACTGATGGCTTTCGTATTGCAGAAATATTCCTGATGGACTTCTTTGATATGCTGGTGTGGTCAACAGGAAAATCACCTTCAAAGTAAAATTCAAAAAGGCTTGTGTATGAGAGCAGGGACAGCTCCTGTAAACCTCTCTCCTTGTTCCCGGTTTGTTTTTAGGTTGTGTACCAATCATGCACTGAAGTTCAACACAGTGGTGGTCTTTCTGGTGCAGGCCACTAGCAAGAGGCCAGGAGGCAGCCATAGCAACACCATAATCAATGCCAAGTATTCCAGGGGTCTCAGCAAAAAGTGCTGGGATGACTAGGAATTATGAATAATTGCTCTTTTCTAGAATTCATAACCCATTTCCAGAGGTAACCCGACAGTCAAGTGGCTGCTCTCCCTGCCACATCCAATAACTGTGGATAGTGGGGAGAAAAGTGATCATTATGCCAAAGTATTGAGTAAAGAGGTTAGAAAGTTTGATAAGAGCGGGAGAAGTCATTTCCTGTGATATCATTAACAGTATTTGAGAGAGCAGGTTTAGTAATTGCTATGGTAATTCTGAATGGCTTTTGACTGTGAGAACATGTAGGTAATTTTTTAAAGTTAGCATCTTTGCTAGTGGGAGAGAATTTCATTAAAACAAAACAGCGGGGCACTGCAGAGGGGCATGGATGGGGCCTGGGGACAGCAGCATCTCTGCGCTGTGCTGCGTGACTTTGCAGATCCTTCCTCTGGGCCTCGGTTTTTCTTCTCAAAATGGTCTGTGGTGACTTGCATGCACCAGTAAGCAAGCACACGAGGGAACTGGAGATCTCAGGAACTAGCTGGACACCAAGGTGATGTCTCAGGGCAAATCCATTTTATAAATATCCCAGTGTAGACAACTCTGTAAAACAAATGGCTTCATGTGTTTGTTACTGCTGTGCAAGCAACAAATCAGAAACGGAAGCAAATGCTTTTTTTGTGAGGATAAGCTCAAAGTTTGTGCGAGTAGCTCCTGGTTTTACAAATATGAGATCTCACTCAGGGTTAATGGCAGAACTCTGGAGTGTTTTTTTGGAGCAGAGTTGTTGATACTCCTGTGGTTTTCATGAGAAGCTTTCAACTTTACAGAAACTGTGCTCTCCTACAAATCTGTATGCATGCAGATATACTTCCATTTTCACCAAGCTTATGAAAAATTAGCTGCCCCCAGCTATGCTGCTTCTCATCAGCTTTTGCCCAGTCTTCATTTGCACTCAAAGGAAGCTTTGCTTCAGGACTGCTGTTTATCCAGCTAGGTTAGAAATAACAGGGTGGACAATCCATGTGTGCTGAAGAGCCAAGGAGGATGGGAGGACAGTGTCCAGTGTTTTGTTGGGTCCTCACTTCTTCCTTTCTTCCCTCCAGGTGCAAACAGATGACTTACCCTGATGACCTGCCCCAGATCTCCGTGGTGTTTATATTTGTCAACGAGGCGCTGTCTGTCATCCTGCGCTCTGTGCACAGCGTCGTGAATCACACCCCATCGCACTTGCTCAAGGAGATCATTCTGGTGGATGACAACAGTGACAATGGTGAACACACATGTTCTCTTTAAGTGCTGTGGCCCTAATGCAAACCAAATCAAAAGGAACGTTGTTATTTCAGGCTGGACTGCTTTTTTCAAATGTTGGGCTGAAATAGTATTGAGTCAGTCTGCATTTAAACAGCTGGGGAAGGAAGCTCTTATATGCAACCACTGATTTATGGTCTAATAATAAGCCTAATCATAAGTTGATATAAATTAATTTATCTCATTTGAAATTAGTGGAACTTAAAAGACTTTTTAGCTTTGATGAGACAGTCAGTTGACCAGTTTCGCAAAGCCGTGCATAAATATTAATTATTTATATATCAAACATTACGTGGATAAACACTCCTGATTTCCTTGGAATTGCTCTCAGGATGAATTTGTACTAGTAATCTTAATGCAGAAACAACCCCTTTCTCCAAATTTTTAGGTGCAGAAGAACATCATCCTTAATAGACAGAAAGTTTAAATTCTGCTTCCGAGGAAAAGTAAGATTATAGATTCTCCTCAAAGATAGTTTCAGCGCTTTGCATAGAAGAACATCCTGCTTTTGCTTGATTTATGTGGGCAGTAATAATACTAGATATTACTTCTGATTTTGATCTAGGAAATAAATTAGTTATGCAAGTGAAAAAACTAAATGGACACAACGCACCTGCAATTCACAGGTCACGTAATTACTTCATGTAAAAATAGCACTTCTATTAACAACCATCAAAGTGAAAACAGGCGTGAGCATGTGTAGGCTGCTGGCAATGTGTGTTTCATAGGACAAAGAAATGAAGCTGAATAAAGCAGTAAAGGAGTTCTGCCCTTTCTGCGGCCTGAAACTGAACAGAGAAAGTGGAGTCTGTTTGAAATGTTCAGTGTCTGCTTAGGTAAAAAATTAAGACTGGTGTTGAGGAGTCTAATTAATTATATTTAAGGGGAAAGCCTGAAAATTAAGGGAAATTGGCTCAAAACCTAACTCAGAATCAAAATTCATTGAAGGTGCTTGTCAAACTCTTCATGATCAGGATAAAAAAAAAAAAAAAAAAAAAACTGTATCTTCTGTGTTATAATGCCATGGGATCAGACTTGCTCTTCTAGAGGTTACTTGCAGCCTACATGCACATCTTCGTGGATATATTGTATAGCCCTGTGAGTCTACGTTAACTGCTCTGATACGTGCATTTCTCCTAGTTGATATCTCTGAAGCGGATCCTTGCCACAGTTTCAGCACTTGGTTTGAATCTGTGAAGGTGACTAAAGATTAGGCAACATTCAAAAATTTCTTTCCCTGTCTATTGTAGAATAAATCAGATTTAAATGTGGTGTTGCAAGGCTATGGTTTTTTAATTCTGATTTTTTTGTGTGTGTTTCTTTGCCCTACAGTTGAGCTAAAATTTAATCTGGACCAGTACGTCAATAAGCGATACCCAGGCCTGGTGAAAATAGTGCGCAATAACAAACGAGAAGGACTGATTCGAGCCAGGATCCAGGGCTGGAAAGCAGCAACCTCTCCTATTGTTGGTTTCTTTGATGCTCACGTTGAGTTCAACATTGGCTGGTAAGAAGTTTTGATGGCAATGTTCTTATCTTTTACGTTCTGTATTCCCACAGGGAGAGCAGTAGTGTTACACTGTGCCCTGCCCCTCAAAGACTGCAAAAGAGATTTGCTCAGCCACAGGGGAGCTGAAGGACTGCGGGGATGAGATGGCTGTAGGCTGGTGTGATCACATTAGCAATTACATTTGAATAATATTCTTGATTGTTGCAACATCACTGAGTCTGCTGCTCTCCCGGCTCTAGCACAGCTCGCTGGAAAGGGAAGCAATTTAAAGTGCTGAGAACCAGAGGCCTCCAAACAGGCAAGTGGGGAAATGCCTCTAAGCTGCTCAAGGCAGCCAGGTGCTTTCAAGTACTTGTATCTCCTTGTCATTTTCTGTCCTTTCTTAGATGAATACAAACCTGATTTCCTCGTAAGTTTTGTTGTGTATACATTTGAGGGAAGCATTGAATTATCTCCCATGTTTTTAATGGAACCTAATCAGTGTATGTAAGTACCTCAAGGGAGGCAGTGCAGAGGATGGTGCTGGCCTCTTTTCAGTGGTGGCCACTGATAGAACTAGAGGAAACAGCCACAAACTGAAACACCAAAAGTTCCACAGGAACTTAAGGAAAAATTTCTTAACAGTGAGGGTGACAGAGCACTGGAACAGGCTGCCCAGAGAGGTTGTGGAGTCTCCTTCTCTGGAGATCTTCAAACCTGCTTGGACGCAGTCCTGTGCCACGTGCTCTAGGTGACCCTGCGTGTGCAGGGGGTTGGACTAGATGATCTCTAGAGGTCCCTTCCAACCTTAACAATTCTGTGATTCTATGAACTTGAAATTAGCACACCTTTCCTCATCCTCTTTTTTTTTTTTTTCTCTCCAAGGGAAGCAATGTTAACTCTGGTAAGTGGTTTTCTGCCTAATGGGCCAGATCTTCAGTTGGAGTAAATCTTTACAGCACCACTCAGTGGCCAATGTTTGGCATTGCTGGAACTAAGGGCTGAAGGAACTGATACTTACAGTCAGCTGAAAAGGGGCTTTGGGGACCTCCAGTATGTAAAATGTTTATTTTTGAAAGCAGTGCTGCTATTTGATAATGATGATGCAGGATTATGGTGGTGCTGATTGTGCTCTGCTGTTCTGGGAGCTATCCTGAATTTAAAACTTAAAAATAGATGCACTTACAGCCAGGGAGAAACTTAATTGCGAAGGAATTGAGTGTTTATTTTTATATGTTCATGAATATCTTTATAAAATTGAAGCTGCAATAAAGTAAGTCTTGTCTTAGTGCACCTGGTTTATATTCACCCTTTCTTTTTTCTCATCCAGGACTATATTAACAGTTGTAGTAATTTTCTGTAAGTTTAATAGCCAGCCTTAGTTAATTCATTTACTTTTAAGCAACTGTGTCTTTCAGGTCATTGCAAATGTTCATGTATCAGCTTCTGGACAGAATATGGGACTGAAACCTGGCAGTGGTGAGAGTTCATGCTCCGGGTTATCTCTGGGCACACTCAGGAAAGCACATTTACAGGATCAGTTGATTCATTCAACTGATATGCCTGTTTTTCTAAAACAAAGACCTTCCTATCCCCTTTGTGCTGAGATAGATTCTGCTTTTTTTGCAATAGGGATGGTCAGTCCCTCCCTATTTTCTTCCCTGGGCTTTATGGACACATTTGCTTGCCCATCTCTTCTGTGCCATCTTCCACTCTTTGGGTTTATTGGTCAGTCACAGCAGTAAGTGTGAGCGTGTGTATTCATGTAGGCAGAGGCCACGTGGATTGCTCTGCCTCAGAGATGTCTGCAGATTATTTGTGAGTCAATTAAAAAGAAGCCAATTCCTTTTCCTGCAGAAAAGAACATTAGCTTTTGGTTTGGTTTATGTTCCATCTATAGTGCAATTTCAGGTTTCCACTCAATGGCTGTTTTATCTGCTTAATCAGTTCGCAGACTAATTCATAAAGAATGTGAGGAGGACTTATCACTTTCTTATGAAACGTGCAGGAACTGTGACAAGAACAGCAAAAACTTTAAACAATTATTACCACATTTAAGGGGGAGCTTTTGCCTTATACTGGAGAACTTTACAGGCTCTCAAGACAAAACTCTCCAGGGGCACTTCTAAACTGAAATAAAATCTAGTAGGATATATGGAAAAAAAATCCCTACAACCTGGCAGGTCAAATTAACTATTGAATTATTTATTTTACTGTGCTTAATTGCCGCTTTTTTTTGCTTCCCATTTGTTGAAACACATTTATTGCAGAGCAGAGATTTTCTACTGACCTGTTCGCCTTATGGCTTTTGGTAGAGTGAGCTAATCCTACTGCTCAGGCAGCAAAAGTTGAGAGGACTAAGTAAAAGGTATTAATTCTCAAATGGAACTTTAAGTGAACAGTATGTAAAAATTTACCAACTGCCCAGTTTGTAAAATTCTGCCTGTTCTGCAGTAGCACTGCTTCTGTTTCTAATGGCTACTCAGTGTCAACCGAAGTCAGTGTCTGGAGCAACATCCCAGCAGAACCGATAGCAATGTAATGCTCTGAGCTCTCAAAATCCAGCCATGAATATTCACTGCTGGAGACGTCCTTCCTGGCTACTCCTCTCTGTGTTCAGAAAGGCAATGGGACAAGTGTCCCGGGGTTGCACAATTGTGAAGGGAAATACTAATAGCCAAGAGGTGAACAGGAACAGGGTGAAGGTGGCCCTGGAAGACAGCAGGATCATTCTGCAGCTCCATTTTCTTCTTGCTGCTGGCAGGGCTCAGCAAGGACAGTGGCACATGGACAGCTTAAAACCCCTGGCAGTTGTCAAGTGCACTCATTTCAGTCTTAGCATAAAGCAGAATCTGCTCTCCCGCTGTCGAGTTAGCTCAGAAAAGACAAGATTTTTTTTCCAGTGTTCTTGGAAATTGCTGTTCTTTGGTCCTCAGTCCCAATTAGTTTTCTATATGTTGTACAGCTATGATGGGGAAAAATAGCTACTCTCCCTCTTCCTGTATTTTTAGCTGTGGTTTCCAGAGAAAACCGTGTAACGCGATTGTGCTGTGAGGGAAATGCAACTGTCTGTCAGTCTCCAGTTTCAGCCAAATTTGACAGAAGGCGAAAGGTCTCAGGGAGATTATGTTCCTAGAGGAGCTGTGGAAGCAGGCAATTGAATAGCGCTCCAAATCAGCACGGCTACTGACAGGCTGCAGCGTGTATTCATAGTGCATAGAGCTGCAAAAGCACCCCAAATAGGAGGGAAATGGGGGTAAAAGTTTGCACCTGATCAGCCAAGTGATCTACCCAAGGAGGGAGATGGTTGCAGTGTGCCAGACCTCAGAAAGTCCATTACTCACCAGTTATATCTGATGCTTCTTAATTGTCTGTCCTATGTTTTATAGGCAATACACTTTTAGAGTAGGAAAAGGCCAGAAATAGAGTCAAATTTAAATAAAATTTAGATGGAATGAGTGAATGCAAACAGATGGTTATGGGAGAATATCTATATTGCAATACTGTGAAAGCTCTACTAAAAGGCTCCAATGAATTGGAGAATATAGGAGGAGGTCCATATTTAACAGTTTACTGGAAAGGCGGATACTTCTGTGTTTAAAAATATATCTTTGGAAGATTGTATGTTCCTGTCTGAGCATATATTTAAGTCTGTAAAGTTCAGTTTTGCCTTCATACCACTCAAGATTTCAGCAGTCCTGCTCTGCGGGTTTTGTATTAAGTCCACCCATTGTGCATTAGGCAACGCACAGTCGAACTGGGTACAGAGCATCTCGTCTTAGCCACTAATTGTGCTGCAGGAGACGTAGACCGTTATACAGCCTCCTGCCTTTGAAGGATGGGAGAGAATGTGACAAGGAGAACGGGAATACGTGATGGTGGGGATCAGAAAAGAAAGGACAGCAGAGATGGGGTGTTAATTCGCTGGCTGAGAAAGAGGACACGTTGAGTGGAGGAGGGCAGAAATTGGTAAGTGAAAGACAGAGATGACAATATATTGACAGCCATAAAGAGAGTGCTAGGAGGCATAAAAGAAGACATAATGATAGAGTATTATACTTGCTTCCTATCTTAGGAAATGCTTTTGCACATATCACAGAGGCAATATTGGAGCAATGAATAGAGTTATGCAGTATTGTAGTAATTAAAATTTTGCCAGACAAAGGGGGAGTATCAATGAGGAAGCAGTGGAATACAAGAATTTCATCAAAAAATTTCAATATACCAGAGAGACAGGGATAACCTGATGTGAGAAAGGACCTGAATTACATGTCTAGTATCCATCAGTCTGTGCCACACACAGACCATCATTATAGATTATCCCTGAAGTTGGCAGTGCTTTAAAAAGACAGAAAATGGGGATTTTAATGAGCTAAGAAAAAGAGCTAAAGATCAAGATTCCCAGGTCTGTGGATAATACACTATAGGAGCTATTTTATACTGTAATGCATAGTGCAGTTTGTTGTAGCAGCTCTAGGAAACAGAGCTGTTTTTTCTCAAAAAAAAAAAAAAAAAAAAAGGAAAGCTGGAGCTGATATCCTCCTAAACGTCACCTGGTTTTGTTCATCCCATCTACTCTGTAATGCCACAGGGCTTTGCTCCCCTCTGAAAGTTCCTCTGTTAATGTGTTCAGGCAATACATTGCAAGCTGGACTCTACCAGCAAGTGAACTCTCCGTGTTGCTTTTCCAGTTGAGTGTACATGGCTCTTTGGACCTTCTCCAAGGTCCTCATGGATCACCCTCCTAATAAAGGAGTACCCAAGACAAGGGTAGTAGCTCCTAGTCCTTGCCCTGTGCAGTCCCTCCTTTGCTGGGGGCTCACAGAGGGTTTTGCTGCTCAGAATACAGTTTATTACAACATCCCTGGTATCATGTTGAGTTTCACTTGGGAAGTTTTGTTTAGCTGCTTATGCAGATGCAAAGGAGGGGACATGTTAGTTGAGGGAGCTTCTCTGTTTCCAAAGCCTTTACTACTAACTTAGGATCAATTTGGTAACTTAATGGAATATGTGTTTCA